ACCATCACAATGATTAATTAGGAAGTGATGAAATAACCCAGTAAATTTTCCAGTAAAATCTATTTCATTAGTATATCTGTGTATTCCTTTTAAAATATATGGTTTTAAAAACACCTATATCAATTGCTGTTAAAACTAATGAAAACTAATGTTGCTGTGTCTGCTGTTTTACATTGAAAAATAATTCACATCTCGCAATCCGACCATTATAATTCTGATGGGCAATATTTCCATGGATTCTCTGTGTTAAATTATATGAAATAAGTGGTGAATGGAAACAGATTCATGGTAATTTGTTGGTATTAATAGTAGTAAGTTGACAGACTTGAGGAATGTAACTGTAGATATATTACAGTGTATTAATCAGTAATTATGTCTCTAGGTATACTCTAGTGTTGCTTTATTTTCATTAGTGGGCTACTGGCCTGTAATAATGGCTTCATACTTCTATAAAAGGGTTGTTGAGGACCGAGGGAGGATTGTTCAGGGCTGATGAAGAACTGCTCAATGACAGGATTTGTGTCATCATTCACTCATTTGTAGCCAGCACAATCATTCTAGTGCTTTTATAATGATCAGAAATGTTTAATATGCAGTAAGCCTTATAAGGGAATTCCAACAAGAATGGAGACATGAGTTACATGCATCTCCGACACAAAGCTGAGACGGGTTTGATTAAAAAAGAATTTGCAGGGACTGTTTGTATTTACTTTATATTTTGTATAAATACTGACAAATGCACACATGGATTACATACTCCAGCATGATTCAGTGCAATTTTATCTAAGACATCTGTATAATTCAGGCATCATCAGTATTTCCTAGAAAGTTGAGACAATGGTTCTAAACTTCCCACAGAATGTCTTTGACATTTAGCAATTGTCACGACATCTCCAGGCCTCCTGGAGTTTGAAGCAAATTAATATTTCTTTGAATCCTGCTTAATGTGTGAATAGAAACAGAAGGTTTAACATTGCGCATCAGCAGACTGCTTGATTTGGCTCTCCCATTATCCATTATCAGCATTGACTGAAGCCATCGTTGGAGAATCCTGAGTAGGTTTGAGAGCACTCAGTCCCACATACACCTCTTACTAACAGCACTGGCGGAAATCCTGATTGTCACTCTGACAACCATCTTGACATGTCAGAGTGTTTTACCAGTAAATGTGAAGCAGCAAATTGAGAGGTCTTAATTGCCTTAGTGTTATCCTCTTATAAACATAATGCTAACAATCTAGCAGTATTTTGTTTGTAAATCTTTGAAATCAGAAGTTGATCTGTAAATATGATTTGGTATTATCACAGAACTCCATTACTGCAGTTAATATTACAGCTTTGTAAACCTCTTGGCTAAGTGAATATTTTAATTTTTAGCATTAGATCAATATTTTCCATTTTGCTGAAAAGTCGTTAGACAAAAGCAATTAGTATTAGTGATTATAACCTGTTATGTTTGGACACTAATTTTTGGATCATTATCAAAATTAAGTGTTTAGACAATCTCTTAATGAGATATAATTCTTTAACCAAACGCAGATCATGTGTGCATCTCATTTAAGTTTCTTCGAGAAATATGAGGAATGAATGAACCAGAAAACAGATTATTACAAGTACATTTTGCAGCAGGAAGTGATATTTTCAGTCACATTTTCACTAGGTGAAAATAATAAGCTTCAATATTTTCACACATTTTTGACCAATCAAATCACAGTATTTGCAGTGAAAGTATCAATAATATTCCCAAAGTGTACATTGCAGTTTACATAAGGAACAATCTGATTGAGAGAGTGAAATGCAGACCTATGAAATCAGAGTGAAATTTATTTTACTGCACTTTTGGTCAGTTTGAATTTGATTACTGCTGTTATGTGTGTTGTACATTTAGTGATTTCATTTATTTTAAATGATTTGATAACCTGTGCCTTAGATTTGACACTACCCTATGTGATCAGGCATAGTAATGGTAATAGAACATGCAAATAGCAAATTCAAATGTTTATCAGTGAAGTGTAGCATGTGATATGGTAAGGAATCCACCAGTTTTTTTGGCTGTACTATAATCCTATGTACACTAAGGTCGAAAATTGTGTGGCGAGATGAAAAACAGATTAAATATAAAAAAAAAGTACACATGACAGTGACAATGTACTGTAGTCATCTGAACATCGCAATCAAAATTTTCTACTTGTTATGTTAGAACTTTTATACTACTGACATTACCAACCTGAAGAAAATGTTACAAAATTTCATATTTTTTGCTTGTTCTGTATACACATGAAAAATATTAAAATTTTCAACTTATTTGAGGAAACATAACTATTATTCTTCAAGGAACTAAATATATCCTCTATTTCAGAAAAGAAATGCCTTCAATATAAGTTTTTATATTCAAAGAAAATAAAATAGATATGTAAAATTTTAATCCTTGTCATGTCTTCATAAATGATATATCCCTTTTGCTTCCATCCTTCAGTAAAACCAGGAAAAATTAGAGCTAGGGAAAATACCTACATCTAGGGTATATTCTTGTAGTCCTAGATACTCTCCCTTGAAAGAAATAGAATTTATAGTCCCAAAGACATCTCCCCTTCTCCCAATGCAAAATATCTGATATAGACCACTTAAAGATTTTAGGTCATCTACTGCTTGATAAATGTAATTATGTATCATAACATCATAAAATACAATAATCCGAAAAAAAAAAATTTAGATGAACACAATCCAAAATCAGGTCTTTATGCACCTGCCATACTTTACAAATATAAATATATATTTTTATGGAGTAAAACACAGTAAAATTTAAAATATAAATAAAAAAAAAATTGTAAGAAAATGAAAGACCATTGACATAAAAAAAAATGAATTTTCAAATATAAATGAAATTATTAAAGTATATATATAAAAAATTGTTTTATTTGTTCATTTGTGAATTTAAAAAGTCAGAAACATATTTTGTCATTTTCAATAAATTCCTGAATCTTTGTAAGATTAATGTAAATTGCATTTTCATGCAGATGACCGAAGTTTTGTTTGTTCATTTGTGAAAGTACAACTATACATACCACCTGATGACATAATAGGTTTGTATAGATAATCATCTATACCTTGAGGCTAAACACTGGTGTAAAGAGGCCTAGATCTGTTGTCACTGACACGGGTGGTTTCTTACATAATAATGACAAACCAGGATGTTGTTTACCTGGAATACCTGTAATTAGTATGCATGGTCAGGTAACTTGCTACCATTTAGATATATTTTAATATCAAGGGGATATACACTATTTACTGAAGGATTACTATTTTCACCGCAGGAGAACTGTATCTTGAGATGAGAGAGCCCTTGATTTGTAATTGTTGTTGAGTTTTTATCAGCCACATTTAGTAAGTAATATTCTGGATTAAATTACACATTCCTTAATTTTGCACTGTAACAAAACATTAAAGAATGTTTAATGTGGTATTTTTTATAGATGTGTAGTGTATGAAGGTTTGTTCAGGAGGCCAGGTGCTTTGGACTGGTTCTGAAATGCTTAATCTGTGATATTTTGGAAAAACAATGTAACTGCTAAGAACATGGTATATCTGTACTACATCTGTTTACTAAAGTACCAAGCAATTTAAGGATTTTGTTTTCTGTCTTGACGTACTCAATATATATATATATGTATACATGTCTGAATTAACATACATAATACGTCATCAATGTCGAAGGATTTTTAAATGTGTTTGCTGAATAATTTATAATGAATTCAATTTTTATAAACACTGACAATGTCTTCATGATGAGATCATCACTGAATGATTCCACTTTCATATACATTTTCAATAATTTGAAATTAACCCTCCAAACAAACAGATGCGTTATCAAAATATTTCAAAAGTAACTACAAGAGATTTTACACTGTAGTAAACTACCAATTCTTGTATAGAAGAGACCAGCAATTTTAATCTTTATATAAACTATTAAATCAAATCTAGTGCTTTTTAGAATATCACCACATGTCACCCAGTTATCCAGTAAATGGACCCAGAAACTAATTGATGTCATGATATGGGCAACAACTTAAAATCAGAAATTAAAAATGGAACCACAAAATGTCTTTTTCTGTGTGATCCGTCCTCCACATTTTGATGTCTCTCCTCTTAGTTTCTTAAATTTGTTACATTTCATATGAAATTTTATGAAGCTAGATATTGCATTTTTGCGAGCCATTTTAAGCCTTTTTTTAATAAAATTCCATATGAAAAGAAAAGACATTTAAGATCCTGTATTTATTTAGTATTAATTGAGATATATTAAACCTATACACACTGTTACGGTGTTTTATGTTAGTCGTTTTCATTCTGTCGATGTATCGGTGAATGACACTTCAATTGGTGTAGATTGTATTTATACCGGACCTCCACCATGGCAAGCTAGTAAGACCGTCATAGAAATAACAACTAGAACACAAGATGTGAATTGAATCTGGCCGTTTATTATAGTAAACAACATTTGTCATTTAGTTCAAAGTTTATCATTTAAAATTTACCGAACAAGTCTTAGATGGGGCTCATAAACTGCCACAATGATTTCTGCAAAACTTATGCATAAATAAGGTAAAGCAAAAGTGACGCAAAATCATCCCCCATCCGAAGCATTTGTCTAACAATGTCTTTCCTATGTGGTTATCATGGAATGGTATGCTGGTGATAGAGGAATGCATGCATACACACATAGAATTTTAAATTGAAGAAATGTGCAATTTTTTGCTTCTGTCTCCCATTTTTGTGGATTATTTCTGAACTGGTAACAAACTGAACTTTGAACTTTATGTAAAAATGTATCACCTGGCAAGCTAAAGTACTATATAAATTTGTAGATTTCTTAAAATATCCTATTGGTGTATCATGTTCATTTAATGTCATTGTCAGGTAAAAATCAACAACAACTTATTAAAAATACTGTGGTATTTTTTCTGTAGACTTTTGAAAGAAGAGAAGAGTATCCCAGACAAAATGGCTATTCATGTTGCTGGTCTGGTTTCCATCGTGGTGTTTTATCTCCTCATCCTGCTGGTGGGTCTTTGGGCAGCTAGAAAGACCAAGCGTTCAGGGCAAGAAGAGGACAGTGAGAATGTGATGCTTGCAGGAAGGAACATTGGCTTAGTGGTCGGAGTCTTTACTATGACAGGTGAGGTAGAACAATGAGTGAGGGACATTGGCTCAGTGATTCGGATGTTTACTATGACAGGTAAGGTAGAACAATGAGTGAGGGACATTGGCTCAGTGATTCGGATGTTTACTATGACAGGTGAGGTAGAACAATGAGTGAGGGACATTGGCTCAGTGATTCCGATGTTTACTATGGCAGGTGAGGTAGAACAATGAGTGAGGGACATGGCTTAGTGATTCCGATGTTCACTATGTCAGGTGAAGGGCACCAGCTTAGTGATCAGGGTGTTTACCACAATGAGTAAGGGACATTGGCTCAGTGATTTGGATGTTTACTATGTCAGGTGAAGGGCACCAGCTTAGTGATCAGGGTGTTTACTACAATGAGTGAGGGACAATGGCTTATTGGCTGGGATGTTCACTATATCAGGTTTCATAGTATCAGCTTAGTGGTCGGGGACATTAAACTCAAACCGTTTACACATCTTTTTACCAGTAGCATATTTTCGCACATTACTTTGAAAAAAATAATACTCGTGTTGTTTATTTATTTTCTGGGTTTAGTGCCCTATTAACAGCCAAGGTCATTTTGAGGCAGAGTTTAATTTTAGCAGCTGATGGATTCTTCACTGAACAACATACGGGAGGTCTGTCACATGCTATCTAGAGCAATCAGAATAAGCGACTTGCCCAAGGACACAACCTCATCAGCACAAACCAGATCACAGATCATTTCTCAGCATCTTGAGAAACACAAACTGTCATAGGTAGTGAGTGTCGCACCTTGCACCATGGACCTTCACCTCAGGTTTCGCCCAAAACCAACTGAGGTTTTGTGCCCCTCCTTTCTGAAAAAAAATCATACTGAAATTGACAAATTGTCCAATGTCATTGAGGCAGAACAATAAGCATTCTGCTCTCTTGCTTGAAACCATTCAATTTAACTTCCAATGATCTTTTAAATAATAATTTTTTTTGAGCATGAAATTGAAAATGTGGCAACATCATATTAAAACATGAAAATTTAAAAATATAATCTTTGTGATGATTGTGTTGATATAGACCTTTATAGTAGAGGTTACAGAACATCACAAGACATCCTTAAAACGTGTTTAACTAGTAGAGTATCTATATTTTCCATAAAATACACAGATACCAATACATATATACCTCTCAGACATTGCTGAGATCTAAACCAGGTTTGTATTAATTAGGTATTAACAAATTTATTTTATTAAATGAAGATTTTTTGAAAACTGTAAAAATTTAAATCTTATGGGAGTGATATTTGAACATGTTACTGAATTTTGAAAAAAAAAGGTGTAAACAGGGGTTATAATCACTACAGTCTGTAAAATAAACTTCATTAGATAAAAATAGACAATTCAATCATGCTCATTTTCCTCTCTTGTTGGAACATCATCAGGAAATCACTTGGGAGTGATACAGATGTACAAGCTTGTTATAAAATGGATGGGCGTGTGGGCCACACTATTTCAAGTGATATACTGTTGCGATATGGCACATCACTGTCATGTAACGTGTATCACATATTATAATTAGGAGGTAATACCTAGCCCCAGAGGTCCGCAGACTCAAACCCTCATCAGGGGAAAACAACACATTGTCAAGATTCAGTCATTAGCTCCAAATTTGATTATGGAAATTTTCACTTGAACTGAGATATCAATCAATAAAGTGTTAAGGCCTTAGCTTTGATAGGGTGATGAGTGTAATGGAATCTTAAGTGTCCCCCTGGGCCTCCATATGTCTCAAACAGACAGTCGAGGGCACTGATTACCCTCCTTTCTATTGTAATCATCAGTTACAGTGGTCTCTAAACATTTTTATATATGCTTTTTTTGCTTCGGCTAAAATAAAAAGAAAAAAAAGCTGGCTAAAAGAAATCATCATTTGTCTTTTAAACATAATTTAATCTTTAAGACATTTGAGAGAAATGTCAGATTATCATTGAAGTTTGTGGAAGTTGAACTTTTACATGTTTTAGCAGTGTTATGAAATTTTCTGTCCATACGACAAGAAATTTATATGTTCTTGGAAGCAATCAACCAAATTTTCTTTCCATATGACAAGAAATTTATATGTTCTTGGAAGCAATCAACCAAATTTTCTTTCCATATGACAAGAAATTTATATGTTCTTGGAAGCAATCAACCAAATTTTCTTTCCATATGACAAGAAATTTTTATGTTCTTGGAAGCAATCAAATTTTCAAAACTTACAATGGCATTGTAAACTAGACATAGCAATCAAGAAAAGATACCGGGTATGTGGTTTACACAAAATGTACAAAAAAAATAATAAAACCATTATAAAGATAGATAAAGGTGACAGCAGTGAAGTGTAAAACAGGTCCATGATGGTTTTACCCTGTCTAGCATTGCTTTTCTTTGTATGTTATGGGTGGTAAGAGTTGGGGCTGATATGTATATGAATATGGCCTCTGGTGCCACTACATGTATGTGCTGTCCCTTTCCTTGTCTGAATACAGTAGTGTCTTCATTCATGTCTCATTAAATTTCTAGCATTTAGTACTGTACAGAGATCTAATATAAACAATAAACTTGAACATTTTTGTAAAACATAGGAACCAAAGTTTAAGGCTGAGCTCAATTTGTGTGTTTACAGAATTTTTTTTCAAAACACTATACTTAGTATTTTTTCTTGGAATTTTTTTAACCCTTATTACTGGTATGAATGAGTAATACCTATGATAAACCTATTTATTCTACTGTATTGTTATAATGTACATATATATTATGTAAACAATGATGTTATGCCGCAAGAGAAGAATTAACACACATATATGTATTATGTTTTAAGTTTGTTTTGGCAGTCGTCATGATCAGTAATAAGTAAATTGAATAAGATATTGCTTAAACTATGATAGTGATTCAAACATAATCTAAACTGGTAAAATCCTCAGGATTTTATGTAAAGTAATATCATGTAAAGAAGATGAACATCTCTCAAAATTAATTATTTTGTACGTGAGCTGATTCGACTCTCAAGGTGATAAAGGATGGGCTATCCCTTATGGTAGTAGACCCTAAAGGCTATACATCTTTTATCTACAAATTCCTGAAACTGTATTTAAAAAAAAATTGTTTAAAAAATATACTAATTTTAAACATATTGTTATGGCTTAAACATTGAATTTGTCTTTTATACTGTGTTGCCCATTGTAGCTGTAGACATACATCTAAAATATTGTTGTTACAGAGCTGTCATATATCAACAAGCATTTGGAAAACAAGGGCTAGCACTCAATTCTATTGAATATTCACCACTTCAATCTGGATAGTTTTAAATGATATGTTAGGCTACATTTTAAATATAATTTTGATTAACATGGCATCAAATTTTCATTGTTTAATTTCGATACTGTTTGATAAAAATAATAAATCAAGTGTTTATCAAACTAATCAGTATTTTAGCAGGTTTAAGAAATGACCAATACAGTATTTTTGTTGACATGAAAAAACACAAAGAAACAAAAAAAAAAAAAAATGATGAAGAGGATACTCTGATTAAAAGTGTTACAATATCCCTGGTGTAATAATAATCAAGTCAGAGACTCAAAAAAAAAAATTTCAAAAATATTCATTAAGTAAGTTAGTCATGGACTTCAAAATAAAAGAAATGAAGATACAAGTATATTCCTAAGGTGAGGTAGTCGCGGGCATAAAAAATGTCAAAAAGTGAAATGCTGAAGTTTAAACAAGGACTTAAATATAAAAGAAATGAAAATGCCAGACTTTTTCTGGGGTGAGTTACTTAGAAATAAAAGAAAGGATTTAGTAAATAATGTAAAAGTGAAAGAAGTAAAAAGTGCAAAATTATTGCTGAAACGAAAAATTGATTTCGAAAGAATTCATGTTGTGTGGGTGCAGCATGTTAAAGAAGTGTTGTGAAATACTGTCATACAAGTGTGGGGCAATATCTCATTTGGAATGGTGGGTATTGATTTTATAGTGGTAGCTTCGCGCAGGATGTCGGGACAGCACAAGCACACGCAGGGCTATATCACATCACATTGAGGTTTAGCAGTAACCAATACCATCATTGGATTTCCAAAACCCCCTCACCCACTCATTAACGGCATTTGTAGGCTGTAGCAGGAGATAAATTATTGAGTTTTCCTGGTAAATACTCTAGTTTGTAGAATCTTTCCTAATGGACAATGGCATAATCCAATTATTGAGTGTAATAAGCTGTCGGGGCTGTTTGGATATTCTTGTTTATCTGTGCAATAACCAGGAGGCAAGAGCAAAGAACAAAAGCTGCAGACTTGATCAATAGAAAATAAAAAGACAGGGTTGGGGTATGGGGCACTTGGGAGTAGAGAAGTCTAATTGTGGGACAGATGCGACAGTTCTCCGCAATGGCCCCTGTGACCAGCCAGTGACATTATCATTGGCTGTCCAACTGATATCAAAGGAATAAAAATCAACAAGATTATAAGTTAAATTTTTGATATCTAAGCGCTGACAAATGATATTGGACAATGATGAATGTAATAGTTTGTTTTTAAGTTTAATTGTTTCGCAGTCCTCATACATGTAAGCTGTACTTCGTTAATGAAAGTAACAATAGTTAAACACATATTAATATATGAATTTTAGATTTTTCATATTAATTAGATATTTGTAGATAAATAGTATAAACTTTGTATTAGAGGCTTTGTAAGATTAAAGAGCATTTCATAACACATCTACTTTAAAATAGATTTATGTAAAAATATTTTTTTTGTAGTCTGATTAAAATATAGGAATTCATCAGTGTCATTAAATTATCATTGATAGATACATCAAATATGAATGCATCCTTTCAAGAATTTTTTTATGATAGCATTTGCAGAGGATATTTAATATAAAAGTATGGTTTGATTCATCTGACATGTCTTGGCTGTGTAGGCCGTATCAAAATTCAAAATTTTTCACCAAATTTTTAAACAGTTTACAAAATGTAGTATAAAATATCTCAACTTTGTGTTGAAGTTGAATCAGAATTTATTTCATGCAAATTTGGACTTTGTAATCCACACACTTCAGTCATGGTTTAAAACAGTATTTGATGAGGTTTTTGTATAGTAATCCACTGACTTTTTAAAAAGTTTTACGAACTGTATTCATATTAAGTCTTGTGTTGCCAGTGAACAACATTCTATTATAAAGTGAAGATTTCAATCAGGGAATTAATTGACATCATTAATGAATTGGTCAGACTTGTCCAGTCAGCCATGCTTATTGTCCACTTCACTGTGTCACGGGAGTAATCACATTTCTGAAGAAAATTAAATTGACCCAGACATGAAAATTGACTCGGAGCAATTGGAGCGGGAGTTTTAAGATTAAGACAATCCAGCCATCAGAGGATTGTGCATAAGGATAGGATTAAAATTTCTGGGAAGGAGTCTAGAGTAGGATTGGGGTACAATGCACATGAATATTCACAATCCATTGGAGGCTAGAGTTTGAGAATAGGAAGGTAGGATGGGATTGAGGTATGTGAAGATGATGTGGGAGGACAAGAATATAGTTATCTGGAAAGTAGGATTGGATTGAAGTATGTGGTTATGACAGTTCACGAGAGGATAGTGTTTGAGGATAGCATTGTAATTATCTGGAAAGGTAGGATTGGAGATATCAGGATTAATGCAATCCAAGGGAGATGGGTCATGAGATTATTTTGATTCAAAACATTTGTCTTCTCCCAATTTCCCAATTTTATATTTACCCTGAAAGCACAATAACAAACAGTGTATGTTTCAGCAACAATTTCATTTTTACGCTATTGACCAAAGAACAAAATGGATAAAAGTTAAAGTGTGGCAAAAGTTTTTATAATATGATGTAAATGAATCGTGTATATCAGTGTTTAGTACTGTTTGCTTTATAAATCCCAAAGGAAAACGCAAAAAAAGCTGAGGAAAACAGTGTTTTATTAAAATTCTTTAAATAATTCTTCTAACCCGTTTCTCAAGAGAAACACCTGAGATCTTGTTTATTTCCAGATAAGGTAATGTACGTGCTGAATTTACAAGTTAATCTTTGACTCTATTTGCAATGTTTATTATGTTAACAGCTACATGGGTAGGAGGTGGTTTTATAAATGGGACAGCAGAAGTCATCTACACAGACGGATTTGTCTGGTGCCAAGCCCCTTTTGGTTATGCACTTAGTCTTGTATTTGGTAAGTTAAAAAAATAAAAACAGCTGCTTGGAAATAAGAATTCCTATCAAGCCATCGCTGGGTAGTGAAGAAATACTATTTCACCTTATCTTTGGTTAGTGATGGGGAATCCTGAAGAATGTTCCTAGGTAGAAGTGAGAAGTTTAATTGTCTTGAAATCATTTAAATTAATATTTCTATGCAAAAACTTCTTCATAATGCTCAATATGTGCATGAAACAAAAATTGAATTATGATCATTCTTAGAGAATTTTTGATTGATGAATACACATTTGTCTTCTATTTGTAGGAGGATATTTTTTTGCAGAAAGAATGCGATCACAAGGTTATGTGACTATGCTGGACCCATTTCAACAAAAATATGGTGAGAGAATGGGAGGATTATTGTACATTCCAGCTCTCTTGGGCGAGGTCTTCTGGTCAGCAGCCATCTTAGGTGCTCTTGGTAGGTAAAGCTTCCAGTCTCTAATAAGATATTCCAGTGGCATAGCCCTGGTGTACAGTATCTAACGTGGCATGACTCTGGTGTACAGTATCTACAATGGCATTGCCCTGGTGTACAGTATCTACAGTGGCATAGCTCTGGGTTGCAGAACTTAAATGGCATGACCCTAGGGTACTGTATCTTCAGTGACATGGCCCTGAATCTAGTGGCATGACCTTTGATGTAAAATATCTTCAGTTGAATGACCCCAGATAAACATTATCTTCATTGGCATGACCCCATGATAAAGAATATCTACAGTGGCATCACCTTGATATACATTATCTATGACAGTGTCATGACTCTTGTGTACATTATCTATAGTGGCATGACCCTGGTGTACAGAATCTATAGTGGCATGACCCTGGTGTACAGAATCTATAGTGGCATAACCCTGGTGTACAGAATCTATAGTGGCATGACCCTGGTGTACATTATCTGTAGTGGCATGACCCTGGTGTACAGAATCTATAGTGGCATGACCCTGGTGTACATTATCTATAGTGGCATGACCCTGGTGTACAGAATCTATAGTGGCATGACCCTGGTGTACAGAATCTATAGTGGCATGACCCTGGTATACAGAATCTATAGTGGCATGACCCTGGTGTACAGAATCTATAGTGGCATGACCCTGGTGTACAGAATCCATAGTGGCATGATCCTGGTGTACAGAATCTATAGTGGCATGACCCTGGTGTACATTATTTATAGTGGCATGATCCTGGTGTACAGAATCCATAGTGGCATGACCCTGGTGTACAGAATCTATAGTGGCATGACCCTGGTGTACAGAATCCATAGTGGCATGACCCTGGTGTACAGAATCTATAGTGGCATGACCCTGGTGTACAGAATCTATAGTGGCATGACCCTGGTGTACAGAATCTATAGTGGCATGACCCTGGTGTACAGAATCTATAGTGGCATGACCCTGGTGTACAGAATCTATAGTGGCATAACCCTGGTGTACAGAATCTATAGTGGCATGACCCTGGTGTACATTATCTGTAGTGGCATGACCCTGGTGTACAGAATCTATAGTGGCATGACCCTGGTGTACATTATCTATAGTGGCATGACCCTGGTGTACAGAATCTATAGTGGCATGACCCTGGTGTACAGAATCTATAGTGGCATGACCCTGGTATACAGAATCTATAGTGGCATGACCCTGGTGTACAGAATCTATAGTGGCATGACCCTGGTGTACAGAATCCATAGTGGCATGATCCTGGTGTACAGAATCTATAGTGGCATGACCCTGGTGTACATTATTTATAGTGGCATGACCCTGGTGTACAGAATCCATAGTGGTGTGACCCTGGTGTACAGAATCCATAGTGGCATGACCCTGGTGTACAGAATCTATAGTGGCATGACCCTGGTGTACAGAATCCATAGTGGCATGACCCTGGTGTACAGAATCTATAGTGGCATGACCCTGGTGTACAGAATCTATAGTGGCATGACCCTGGTGTACAGAATCTATAGTGGCATGACCCTGGTGTACAGAATCTATAGTGGCATGACCCTGGTGTACAGAATCTACTATTGCATAGTCTGATATGCAGATATACATTGAGATAATTCTACTGTACTGTATATACAGTGGTATGACCCTGGTGTTCTGTATCTACAGTGGCATGGCCCTGGTGTTCTGTATCTACAGTGGCATGGCCCTGGTGTTCTGTATCTACAGTGGCATGACCCTGGTGTTCTGTATCTACAGTGGCATGACCCTGATATACAATATATACAGTGGCATTACCTTTATGTATATTATCTCTTGTGGCATGACCTTTGAAATACAGTGGCATGACCCTGAACCCAATTATATGACTCTGATATACACTATCTACAGTGGCATGCTCCCCTGATATAGAACATCTACACATGTCTTCTAGACTGCATTTGTTTAATTTGATATATCTTACTTGCATTATTACAGGTGCTACTCTGTCGGTGATAATAGACCTGGACATCAAGACATCCATCATTGTATCTGCCTGTGTAGCTACTTTCTACACCTTATTTGGGGGCCTGTACTCAGTAGCCTACACTGATGTAGTACAACTGTTTTGTATCTTTGTTGGACTGGTAAGTTTGTTCAAGTCACTATTCAAACTTCACACAGCAAGGTTTTAAAATCACATATCTTTCCAGGGTCACTTTCAATACCATTTCAAGATACACAACCTTGATCTTCAAAACATGACTGTAATTGAAGTTTATGTTCCTTTAAATAGCATGTCAATTCTGCAATAAATACAAGGACCCAGTGACTCAAAGTCAGGAGGACGGGGGAGCGAGCCGGATGGGTTTGCTACAGGACGATGAAATTCTTTCTGAACAGCAGCAAGATATGACTGGGGTTTACACATTTATAGTGTACATTTTAGTAGATACTAAATTTTGTGAATAAACCTCTGCTCACAAGATCTGCTAGTACTATACAATACATGTCAAGTTTGATCTGGTTTTTATTTTAAGGACATGTAAATCCAAGGAATAAGTGTACCCAGGAATTCAACAAAAGTGAATCACCCACAAAAATTAATGATTTTTTCGAACCATTGTTCTCACACACCATTTTGATGCCACATAACATTATTTTGATGTCTCACAACACCATCTTGATATGCAACTTAGCATCATCTTCAAGATGCTGGCCACATTGCACCATTATGATGCCACATTACTTTTATAAAACACACAACATTAGACTTTGCCACACTTTGTCAAACAACAACATCCCTATATCAAACAACTCCATCCCTATATCAAACAACTCCATCCCTATATCAAACAACTCCATCCCTATATCAAACAACTCCATCCCTATATCAAACAACTCCATCCCTATGTCAAACAACTCCATCCCTATGTCAAAACAACATCATCCCTATGTCAAACAAAACCATCCCTATGTCAAACAAAACCATCCCCATGTCAAACAAAACCATCCCTATGTCAAACAACACCATCCCCATGTCAAACAACACCATTCCCATGTCAAACAACACCATTCCCATGCCACACAGCACCTCTCACATGTCACACAACACCATATACATCATATGCAACACCATCTATATGTCACACAATACCATCCACTTGCCACACAGCACTAACCCCATATAATGTTGAACAATAATTTAATATCAGTGTGTCATTAATCAAACCATTTTCTCCCAATTTTCACAAAACTGACATCGTCCTCATGCCATCACCCCATCTAATTAACCATACAACACAGTCCAGATGTCACTACACCATATTCATAATAACACCATTTACACCATTTATATGTCACATTACATCTGGTACTTAACACAAGTCAGACAGAGCCTGTATGATATTTTGTGTTAAATTATATGTCTTTCATGCTGTGGCAAAATTTGCTGAAAAAAATTGATCTTTTTATTATGCCAACATCTGAGCTGGCCTCTGTATGTATTCTTACATTGAAAAGGTAACTTGTAGACATTATCAAAGAGGCATTGGTCTATAATACCAAGATTGATTCTATAGAATAAGTTGCTTAACGAGTTATTTATTAGACTTTAAAGTAGATTGACACAGCAATATCTTGTAATGTTAACAGAGGAGAAAACCAGCTGTCATCAATAATACACTTCTATAGATCATCATAATTGGCTCTATATATAGCGTTTCTTATTGACCATTGCTTGTCAATATTTACACATAACTGTTTCTTCTGTGATGTTTACCGTGTCTTTCAGAAGATATTGACGGGAGGTTTTATCAATATTCAATATTTGTTCTGGTAATAATTGACTTAATATTTATAGTCTGCAGTATAAGTTAATGTTGATTCTTGCACTTTGTTCTTCAAGTTAATGACCATTGAAATCGGAGATAAAACAACTTGTTTTAGATGCACGTATACAACTCATGTTTTGTGATTAAAGGGAGGCAACTGTAAAACTTGCCTCTGCTAACAAGCTTATGTTTGTATCAGTTGAATAATGTTACATTCGTCTTGTTTATGTTTAATCGATTGAGTATATTTTTAGATTGTTTATAGAGCTGTAGATTGTTTGCACTCTGTATAAATTAACACAGTTTTGATATATCGTACAATCTTGGATTGTAGAAATTTGGAATTAAATTCGGGGAATTAATATAGTACAACAATATATATTGAACTAATATAATTATGTAGAGGACATGTACAATACAGTAATTATACTTGTACAAATTTTAAATGTACAAGCGTCACCAGTTTAATACTTATCTTTATTGTTGACCAGTTTCACCACCTCAGTCGAGGCGTCATTAGGACAGTTTTGAACAGTTTTAACTCTACCTATTGTAAAGTATGTATAATTCAATTTATTGCAGGATAGATACATCATCCTCGAGAATGTATATATAATTATCTGTATTTCAATTTGTTTTTTTTCTGTTGTAGTGGCTGAGCATACCATTTGCTATGACCCATGAAGCAGTTGGTGATATCAGTTTAAATGCAACCACCAACTGGATACAAGAACTTGATCCAAAGTATTCCGGTTATTATATAGACAGCTTTCTCCTCCTCATCTTTGGGGGAATACCTTGGCAGGTAGGTCACATTTTATAGGGAATTCCACTACTCTAGTAATAGTTAGTCCAAATCACTACTTACACACAGAATAATTATAGTTCTCACCTACAACTCCACTAATCACTATTAACACAGAATAACTATAGTTCTCACCTACAACTCCACTAATCACTATTAACACAGAATAACTGTAGTTCTCACCTACAACTCCACTAATCACTATTAACACAGAATAACTATAGTTCTCACCTACAACTCCACTGATCACTATTAACACAGAATAACTGTAGTTCTCACCTACAACTCCACTGATCACTATTAACACAGAATAACTATAGTTCTCACCTACAACTCCACTGATCACTATTAACACAGAATAACTGTAGTTCTCACCTACAACCCCACTGATCACTATTAACACAGAATAACTATAGTTCTCACCTACAACTCCACTAATCACTATTAACACAGAATAACTGTAGTTCTCACCTACAACTCCACTAATCACTATTAACACAGAATAACTATAGTTCTCACCTACAACTCCACTAATCACTATTAACACAGAATAACTATAGTTACAACTCCACATCACTATTAACACAGAATAACTCCACTAATCACTATCACAACACAGAATAACTATAGTTCTCACCTACAACTCCACTAATCACTATCAACACAGAATAACTATAGTTTTCACCTACAACTCCACTAATCACTATTAACACAGAATAACTATAGTTCTCACCTACAACTCCACTAATCACTATTAACACAGAATAACTATAGTTCTCACCTACAACTCCACTAATCACTATTAACACAGAATAACTGTAGTTCTCACCTACAACTCCACTAATCACTATCAACACAGAATAACTATAGTTCTCACCTACAACTCCACTAATCACTATCAACACAGAATAACTATAGTTCTCACCTACAACTCCACTAATCACTGTTAACACAGAATAACTATAGTTCTCACCTACAACTCCACTAATCACTATTAACACAGAATAACTATAGTTCTCACCTACAACTCCACTAATCACTATTAACACAGAATAACTATAGTTCTCACCTACAACTCCACTAATCACTATTAACACAGAATAACTATAGTTCTCACCTACAACTCCACTAATCACTATTAACACAGAATAACTATAGTTCTCACCTACAACTCCACTAATCACTATTAACACAGAATAACTATAGTTCTCACCTACAACTCCACTAATCACTATTAACACAGAACAACTCCAGTTCTCACCGACAACTCCACTAATCACTATTAACACAGAATAACTATAGTTCTCACCTACAACTCCACTAATCACTATTAAAACAGAATATCTCCAGTTTTCAGTTACATCTCCACTCACTATCAACATAATAACTCTATTTTTCACATGCAACACCATACTTTTCTTTTGTTAATTTGTATCTTTATTTTTTTTTCACAGGTTTATTTTCAGCGTGTGTTGTCAGCAAAATCTGCATCCAATGCCCAGCTATTATCATATGTTGCAGCAGTTGGTTGTATAGTCATGTCTATCCCATCAGTCCTTATAGGTGCTGTAGCAACAGTCACAGGTACGTGTTTAAGAACAGTAATTAAAAAAGAATAGCAATTGTTCAAGGTATGTGTTTAATGACAGTACATAAAGATAAATCCAGCTTTCTAATCTGGGAACACAGAAATACATAGATAAACAAGAGCATTACATAATGTAATATTGTAGAACTCTACCTTAGTCATAGCGTGATGCATAAAGAATTCAAAAGAGAGTACATTTTTACATTCATCTTGCTCAGACAAATTCTCAAGTGACCTATTATAATTGCCTTTTATCAATAATGTTATGTCGTACATCATCCGTCGTAACAATTTACCTTCTTGATTTCTTCTCAATAAGAAAAAAGCCAGAGGTCTGATATTGGGAATGAAGCATGTTAGGATAAAGGGTAACACCAAGTTTGTTTAAATAAATGACCTTGATCCACATTCAAGGTCATAAGTATCAAATAGTATTAGGCCTAGAAGTCTAATTTTGTGCATGTAGTATGGTGAGATGAAGGGCTAATAAGTTTGTTCAAGTGAATGACCTTGACCAACTTTCAAGGTCACAGTGGTCAAATATCTTTCAATCTTAAACCACTTCTTCGCAATAACCAAAAGGCCCCGAGGTCTGATATTGTCAAGGGAGTCAAACGACTTCCATTGTAAAACAATTATTATAAAAGGGGTAAAACTTTGTAATGTGTGAAAGAATAATTTGTGGGCAATTTATTTTGTGCATAATTCATATTCATGAAATCCTTTTATACTTAACATTCATATACAATTTCACATAGTCTGCAGTCAATTCCTATGCATTTTTCATTGCTATTGGATTATATTTATAAGTTTACTTCATGGGTTTGTAAATTTCCTTGTATCAGATTGGAATGCCACTGACTATGCCAAGGTTGATAATCGGCCTGTACCCATTCCTTCTGAGGATATCAAACTGATCCTACCCATGGTCCTCCAGTACCTTAGTCCGACATGGGTGTCATTCTTTGGTCTGGGAGCTGTGTCAGCAGCTGTCATGTCCTCTGCTGACTCCTCAATCCTATCTGCTAGTGCAATGTTTGCTAGAAATATATACAAGCTGATATTTAGACAGAAGGTAAGATATTTATAATAAAGACAGAGATTCGTAAAACTAAGTGTGCAGTTTAAATTACAAGTTAATAATTTCTTTATACCTTTTTCAGAATTTCTTGACTTTTTAAAGCTATCATACCTTTATAGGCTACTGTCAGAAAGCTGTAAATTTAGAAACTCTAGATTTTAGTCGGTGATTTAAGGATATTGAATGTCCATCTGTATCAATCATATTCACTATTCCTTACAATGTATCATTTTCAGGTATTTTTTCACACCTGCCAATTTGTTTAGCACTGTAATGATTTACTCACTGTAATTGAGTTGAACTTTGACCCTTTTTAGGCATCTGAAGCGGAGATACTGTGGGTGATGCGTGTTGCCATATTTGGAGTAGGTGCTCTTGCCACAGCCATGGCTATAACTGTACAGTCTATCTATGACTTGTGGTACCTGTGTTCAGACCTAGTGTATGTGGTGCTCTTTCCCCAGCTCTGTTGTGTTATATACCTACGGGGCACAAACACTTATGGTTCTTTGGCTGGCTTCATTACCGCATTCTTCTTCAGACTTTCAGGCGGAGAAAAGTCTATGTATATACCAACACTGATAAAGTTTCCATTTTATGATGAGGTGGATGAAATACAGTTATTCCCCTTTAAGACCTTGAGTATGCTCCTGTCATTTTTAGTATTGATAGTAGTATCATACTCCCTTAAGTACCTGTTTGAAGCAGGAATATTACATAGGAAGTATGATGTGTTTATGTGCATCATAAACACACCTGAAGAGACGATAGCATTAAAGGACCAAGGGCCATGTGAGTTGACGGCCATCACCCCTACTAAGGAGCCTAATGGAAAAATCAACCCAGCACTGAAAATATCTCAAGAGGATCTGATTGGAGCGGAAACAGCATATCTCAGGGAGAGAAAATCCCAGAATTCTCCAGAACACGAAAACAATTATCTGGCTCCTCAATGGAAATGATCTTGGTATTATAATTAGGTAAAGAAATGCATTCTTTATATTCATTATCCAAGGGATTGTCTAATGTTATGTATAGCACATCTGTCATATTTCTACAATTTATTCTTCAATAAGAACCAAAATCCAGGGTTTTGATTTTTTAATTTTCTAATTCTTGATTTTAACATAGATGAATTACAATCCTTTTTATTCAATTTAAGGGAATATCTACACTTGAACATTCAATATTCTGTGCCAGTTATATTTAGTAGAGTGATAAAAAAACAAAATAAAACAATTGTTTTAAAACTAGTTTATTAAGGCTGATGCAAAATCTGCAGGACAGCTTTGGTCATTTTCAATTCACATCATGAATGCTATAGATTCATTATTTCTTTTTATAGGTTGAAAATTCTGTATCTATTTTTGTCTCAGAAACAAATGGACCAAGAAGATATTTACAGGACAAATAGGTACTCTGATCTCTGATTTTGGTTTATGTTTTTCCTTCTTCTTATTTTAAATAATTTCATTCTAAGATATCACTATATTAACTTCTAATATTTTTATCTCAAATGTTTTTAAAATCCAGTTTAATTAATGTAAGTGTGATTTATATATGATGTGTATGATATATATATATATATCTATAGCTTGTGCAATTGGGAGTTGAATGATCTGTCATATGACTACCAATTATAAATGATTTATGATTTATATGTCTATAGTAAATTTTAGTCTATGTACAAATTGTATAAACTGTACAATTTATAATTCATATATGACTGGTATGATTTGTGATCTTTATATAAATTGTAAGAGACAATGAATGGTATAATTTATATATGAATGGTATAATTTATATATAAATGGTAAGGTTTATATATGAATGGTATAATTTATATATAAATGGTATGGTTTATATATGAATGGTATAATTTATATGCAAATTGTAAGACTTATACAATAAATGATATAATTTATATATGAATGGTATAATTTATATATGAATGATATAATTTATATGCAAATTGTAAGACTTGTACCATATATATTTAAATTGCTATAAATTGCATGTTTTATAACTGAACTGTAGGATTCATATGGCCTATACCATTTAAACATGACTTGCATGATTGATTCATAAATGAATAATATGATTTATATATCAATTAAATGATTTATATATATAAATTGTATGATTTATACATAAATTGTATGATTCACATGTAAATTGTATGATTTATATATATATGATTCACATATAAATTGTATGATTCACATGTAACTTGTATGATTTATATATAAATTGTTGATTCACATATAAATTGTATGATTCACATATAAATTGTATGATTCACATGTAAATTGTATATATATAAATTGTATGATTCACATATAAATTGTAGGATTCACATGTAAATTGTATGATTCACATATAAATTGTATGATTCACATGTAAATTGTATGATTTATATATAAATTGTATGATTCACATATAAATTGTATGATTCACATGTAAATTGTATGATTTATATATAAATTGTATGATTCACATATAAATTGTATGATTTATATGTAAATTGTATGATTCACATATAAATTGTATGATTCACATGTAAATTGTATGATTTATATATAAATTGTATGATTCACATATAAATTGTATGATTCACATGTAAATTGTATGATTCACATTTAAATTGTATGATTCACATATGAATTGTATGATTCACATATAAATTGTATGATTCACATATAAATTGTATGATTTATACATAAATTGTATGATTCACATATAAATTGTAGGATGTATAGGAATTGTAAGCTGTATGGTTCATGTACAACTTGTAACAATTTATGATTACCAATATAACACTTACATAATGACTTAACTCTATATGACTTTTATGATTTATGAATGATTTATGAATAAGACTTCTATTTTACTTGTAGTAATGTATAGTAAGTTGTGGTTTTTAATCCAATGCTATTATACATGGTAGCCCTAATACATGCATCTAGTACATTACAGTTTCCGGGTGGGGGTAAATATGTAACATGAAATGACACATGTCATTGTTGTAAGTGTTTGTGTTTGAGTTATTTGTCAATACCAATATATGTTTTAGTACAGAAACATTTTATGAATAATTGATCTAGATTGTGATACTGTTTGCATAATTGTAACCTTGAAAATTAGAATTTCACCTGCTTTGGTCCAAGGTAAGCTCATGCCATATCACAGCATCCGTTGTCCATCTGTCTTTGATGGTCTGTCCGTCCATTGTCCGTACATCAACAATTTCTTCAAAAGACATCTTCTTAACCACTGATTGGAGTTAGCATTGGGCTGGTAGCATCCCTAGGTGGTGGGTATACAGCATATTGGAAATGGAAGGGCTTATTCCCCCAATCCCAGGGAGGTGAAGGGTGGGGCCAAAAGAGGGAATATTTAGGGAATACTGCTATAAAAAAGATCTTTAATGCACTCATATCATTTGGTTGGAAGCTTTTGGGGAAAATGGAGGTTCAAAAGTTTACAAATTGAGGGGCTGATCTCAAAGAAGACTGAAGGTAGGTCTGAAAATGATAGCACTGACCTTCTTGGGGACAGAGAGATAGGGCCAGATAGGCAAAATATAGTTAATTCTTTACAATCCTTTCTCTTTCGAGGGAATGACAGGATAATTATCCTGTTTTGGGTGAGAAGGAACCAATTTTTCATAAACGGTGAGACTGACCTTCTTTGGGCCCAAGTGGCAGGGTCCTAAATTGTAAATGAATGACGTGATATTGTCCAAATTTGGTCAGAAGTCTTCTTGAGTGAACAGAAAATAATAGTGTATAAATGCCTTTGCCTTTGGGGCCAAAGAGATGTGCTCAAATTGAGGAAATGCTTAAAATCCTTTTTCTGTTTGCTAATATTTTGATTGAATTTAGTTTAGAAGCGTGGTTGGGTGAATAGAACTTTTCTTTAGGTAGTTACTCTGAACCTCTTGGCACAGAGGAGGCAGGATCAGATAGAGGAAATAGATACTAATTGCTAAGATATAATTTTAATACAGTTTAGATGATGCAATTTCAGCCAAACCAAACTATGTGAGTGATACAGGCCCTATGGTCCTCTTGTTAAGCTATATAAACCAAATGATCAGGATGACCATAAGCCATTGTTTTGTCATCATAAGCCATACTCTTTCTACTGTGTGTTAGCATTTCACACAGAACGAGGTTTTGCTTGGCGGTTCAGCAGTTGGGCATTAGTCGAAACTTGCCTGGAATGATCCTGCCAACCAAGTGTTTTTTTTTTTAATTTGTTAGGTCCATTTTAAATACAAGATGGCCGCCATATCTGCCTTCTTGAAAAACAATTGTAAATTTCTCCAATTCCAACAGTGCTTTTGGTGTGGTCTGAAGTTCAACATGGCAGCTATGGCAGCCATTTTTAACATAAGATCCATGTTTTTCTTAACAGCACACATTTCAAGTTTCTTTTTTCAGTTCTGCTATGACTGGATTTAGTTGACAAATGTGCTCAGATATTCCTAACCAGTGTTGTTGTTCTCTTAAATCACGTCTGAAATCTCATATCTCAAAAACATATCTTAACTGACAATTTTTGAACTGGAACTTTGTAAATTTGAATTTTCAGACAGATGTTTTTTCTTTCTTTTATGTTGAAGTTTATTTTAAAGATTCAAAAGAAAATTGCTTGAAAAAAAAAATCAACAATATCTTGCTGATATTAGGAATTGCAGGACAAATTTTCATAATTTTCACTACATTGTTACTTGACTAAGTTCCTTATACTCAGATGACAGTTATGGCTACAGGCCTCTTGTGATATATACATCTATATAATATATTCATATTTTGTGTAGAACTTTTTCTATATCAATATATCATAAATATATATATCACTGGTACATATGTATGTATATCTACTCTTTGTGTTTAATCACTAAAATAACAAAATTGTATAAGTTTAAACTGTGATGTCCATGTTTTTATCACTTCAGTTAGAACCCGATACCATACTTTAACTCTATCCCGTATCTGTGAGATTGTACTCATCAACGTTGTGAACAGATTGGATTTTTAAAAATTGTTTTACCTGAACTTGGAATTTATGTACATGTTTTATTGTTAAACCTCAGTATCAGTTATTGGCTGGCATTATATTCCATATTATCTGTACCATGTCAAATAATCAAGATTTTAAAAGTTTGTGAAATGAAAAATCAGTTAGGTACTATGATTGGTGTTAAATGAAAACATTTTGTTAAAGTATTCAAATTCTATTGAATGTTTTTTATGGATTTCACACTTTTAACTAGTGTATAGTTTTACAGATGCCTGTGGGCATTATCTTTTAACCTTTTTTTTCTGTTTTCAACTGATATTTTATACTACTTAATCATTTCTTAAAAATTTCAGTTCTTTTTTTATTTTTTGTGCATGGTTACAAAACAAAGCTAAGGTACTGAATGTTTCTTTATCCTGGTGTCCCTTTCCTGCTTAAAAAGTGTTAAGGACAGTGACTTCACTGTGTACACATGGAGGTAAAGAAATGCTACCTGTTTTACATGGATGACATATCATTTACATACTAAACAAGGTTATCATGGGTTGAATAAGATATGCTGTCGTGTGGTATACAGGTGTATTTTACACTTAAATATCATTATTATTTCATACAGGTAAATCAAACTTTTAATTTAATATAAAAAAAAATCCCTGCCAATTCTGCTAAGTTAAGATTCATTGACCCACAAATTTCAACTCAAAGAAACATTCAGGACATGGACCCCATTACTAAAATGCTCCTTAAATCAAACTATGATACTGGTCAAAAAGGGAGCATGGCATATATTATCTTCAAAGCTGAAATCTCATACAATCGCTTTAAAATAGAATATGTTATCTTGTGCTGCTGTGAAAGGTTGTGTCATTATTGTAATACATTACAGAGTTTTTATTAAATTCTTTATTTACTTAAAAGAGTACATCACATTCAA